AGTCAAATATACCAGTGTTTCTAAGACTTTGTACACCACGGGCCATCTCAGGAAATATTAGGCTGTCCAAGTCCATTGTCCATTATGACCGACATTAAAAGCTTTATTCCTAACAAGAAAACTATTTATTGTTGACTGTTGTTGAAACAGGTTCAATGACCAGAGTTTAATTTGCGGTTGGAAAATTGGTCGTGGTCCACATTTCTTTTCGTAATTCATTTCATATAGTACCATAGTGTTGAGAACAGTAAAATAGACGCTAAATCAGGGTATGCTTTGAGGGTGGGCTACTGTGATTGACAGGTCATTCTCAGGGACTTCGTCCAGCTCAACGCCTCCCACTGATGAGACTATAAATATGTTGCCATATTTTAACCATCTTTAAAATGTGGTTGTCTTTTCAACATAGATTAGCCTAGCACATATCATATCTAAGTACAGGAAAGGAGGACATTGACAGAGGGGCGGGATTTAGGAAGGGTCAATTGTAAGAATCTTGATAGCAAAAATGTTTCTTAGTTTGCAGTGACTTAAGTGGACTGTGGCTTTTATCTGAAGTCACCTGTATCAATCCACATACTGAAGCTCATAATTAGCCCATTTTTAGGATTATACATGATCACAAAAGGCAGAGTGTCACTTATTTGTCAGTGTAATAGACCTCCGCCTGACTCAGCAGCCCAACATCTCTGACTAACTGAGTTTCCCTTTCTGAGTTCAAAGGGTCAAGCTAACGGGTGACAGCAGCAGCCTGTGAAGTCTGGCCAAACTCATTATAATTAAGACTATAATTCTGATAGGCAGCGTTTGCCAGCTGACACAGGCCTGTGTCAGCAGCTGCAGAAAGCTTCACCTCTGCCAACTTAATTAATTCAAAGTGGCACGGCCCTGAGCCTCAGATCACTCTTTTAAAATCTTCTGTTTACTATATGTGTGACATCTGACATGCTGATTGATTTTATTGCTCCCAGTGTGGAAATTAGGTTACTGCAGCAGCAAATAGCTTGGCCCAAACACAAGCACACACTCAGTTCCCAGTTTATTAGGTACAACTAGCTAAAAGTAATGCAGTCTAATACAGCAGTCCAGCAATAAATCCTACCTTCATCAGGGTTATGATGTTCAGCTTTTGTTAAAACCGTTGACTCAATACCTCTCTAAAATAGTTTAATCAAAAACTGCAAATACACCAGAAACAATGGATGATGTAACAATCATACACATTTATGTTATCACCATCGCATTAAACTTTCTGAGAAATCATGTTTTTTCCATAATTTTGACATAGCAGACAGGTTTGAATACCACAGTACCCATGATCCTCAGCTGCCATTTTGGTGGCTTAAGGCCCTAGTATGCTTGCCGCTTGAGACCTGTCACGCGACACTGTGACGTCAAAATGACATAGACCTCGCTGCCATGCCAGGATTTTGGCCCGCTCGCGCGAGGTCGCGCACCACTCTTTTTTTTTCAGCTGAGTGCGCCAAACCGGAAACAGGAAGCTTTTCCGAGCCAAGTGGCGCCTCTATCAGGAAATGTACGTATCATGTCAAGGAAGGAACACAGACGAGTTCCTCGGCAGGTGGAATGGTTGGAGAAGAGGAGGGCCATGATGGCCCGGAAGGGAAATTTAGATGAGGCAACCAGATTTGGAAAATCAAAAAAAGAGGCCGCTATTGGTTGTTACGCGTTTTTCTTCCTTGCTTCTAGTTGCGCGTAGAAATAGCAAAGTCGGTAGCCTGTTGCTCGAGGTTGCGCCACCTCTGTTCAGGGAGAAATACGGCAGACTATGTGTCGGTGACCACCAGC